ATATGTGGAGATGATTATATTATAATTGGATTAGAAGAATGTGAAGATGGAAATGATATACCTTATGATGGTTGTTTTAATTGTTAATTTTAGTGTGAAAAAGAATGCTAAATTTGTAAATCAGGATTATGTATTGAATGCATTGAAGGATATATGATTATAAAGGATTATTGTGAAGTTAATAATTAAACTTAAATTATGGATGATGAAGAAGATACATAAATATAAAAAAAATGTGGAAATGGTATTTATTCTAATGATGAAGAATGTGATGATGGTAATTTATTTCAGAATGATGGCTGTTCAATTTTATGTGAAATTGAATTTAATTGGTTTTGTAATAACTAACTAAATAAATCTAGTATTTGTACTCCTTATACTATTATTTAATTGTAATATCTTAATATAACTTAATCGATTTAATATGTTTAATTATCATTTTCTAATAAAGTTAAATTAAATGAAACTATTTCAAATTTTACTAATTTTATTAAACCCTCTATCCCATCCATTTAATAAGACATATATGAAATTTCTATAATTCCTGTAGTTGAAATTGATTAAAATATTTTACTTGAAGTTATCTATGTTTTATAAATTTAAATTTTAGAATCTATTTCAACATAAATTTCTTTAAATGTAGAAATTAATGCTAATTTAGAAGATCTAAATTAAATGAAGGTTAATACTACCATCTAAACTATCAATTTATAAATTCCAAAAGTTTTGAACAAAGATTAATTGCAAACTGCTAATTAGTTTTAATCTTTAGGTAGTTGGATGATGATAGGATTAGCTAGTAGTAGTTTTTTCCTGCTCTTTTTTGGGAATCCTAGTTAATGTATGGAAATTTTAGATACTTTATAATTTTAATCATATTTAAAATATATAAATGTAGAATTTCCATAAAATATTTAAATATATTTTGAATCATCAGAATTTGTAACTATTAATCCTGTGTTGATTAAATTAAAAGTAAATGATGTATTTTAATAATTAATTGGATATCAATATTTAGAAAGTGTAGGGAAACTGTTTGAATATAAATTAAATGCAGATTTATTAGCTAATATATATGGGTAATTTACTTAAATAGGGTTCTTGATGGGATTGTATATATTTATTAAATACTATAAAAATTTGATCTATAAATAATGCTTTGGAAATAAATATATCTACTATTTTAGACTCCTTAATAATAAAATCATAGAAAGTATTGGAATTAAATTATATTATCTCAATAAAAGAATATGTAAAATAGATGAAACATTTAATTATTAAGGCTTTATTCAATTATTTCATGCTAATAGTTGGGATTTAATATTTAAAGTATTGCTTTTTTTAGCTTCTAATGAAATGTTAGGAATAAGAGAAATAGTTTCTATTATAATATCAATCGGATATCTGATATCCATAATCATAATTGTAAGCTAAAATTGTAAAGGATACACTCGTAAGATTATATTAAAGGATTTAAGAACTCAATAACATGATGAAATTATATTACTTAAAAAACTCTTATTTTTATTAGTTCTTATTATCATGTAAAGTTACCCTCTCATACAATGTATACTATTAACATGTATATTATTTTGGTATCTTGGATCATTAATTAGTCTTGATTTTGAAGTAAATAAACTTGATTCAATCATAATTATTTGGATGGAAGCACCTGTAATGCTCTTTACATTATCTTGCATGATATATAGCTCTGATTTTCAAAAGTATTTTTCAACTGAGTAATAAATATTTGCTGGATTTTTATAAATTATTTTATTGCTATTAGCTTTAATATCTCCTTTAGTTAGATGTGGATATTAGTTTTGTATTAAAGTTAGAGCATTCTACTTGAAAAATAAGAAGATGAAGGACCCAATTGTTTTGGATGTTAAAAATATTTTATTTTTAGTTGATAATAATAAGTGATCATAATAATTATATTTACTTAAATTATTGTCATTTAATTAGTAATTATCTCTCTTTCTATAAAGTTATAAATATTGATGAAAAATACTACTACTAGTATTTTCATTAAAATTAAATGATGATATATATTTATAACATATCTTTGTATGATTTTAGTATAATTATATAAAATTTATTGATAAATTAAATTACAATATATTTAATGGTGCTATTAATTTTTCTAGTTTATCTTTAAATAGTCATAATATTTACAAAGATCTAACAATTATATTTAGTAGAAAATAAATAATTTTAATAATCTAGGTAAGCACTTATAATTGCAACGAATGACACAGAAATTGTGAAGAATGAATTTTCTAATATTGATGTATTATTAAGAAATACAAAAACTCTATTAAAATATTTATCAAGTAAATATAATAATTATATAATGGAATCAGATTTTATTAATGTTTTTATCTCATTATATAATTATAAATCTGCACTTGATATATTTTTTTCAGAATTTAGTTATATCTATTGGAAATATAGAATTATGAATTAAATTGTTGATGAAGATCTCCTAATTTTTGAATCTTATCAATATTCTCTTTAGATTGAAAGTAAATTATGTTAATAATTCTATAATATTTAAATTAATAAATTTATTGTATTATGTAAAATTTAACAAGGATTAATGATTGCATTAATAAAAAACTAAAGTAAAATAATTGATTTATTAAATTTGATTAAAATCACATCATTATACTTATAGAGTTTCTTAATAAATTTAATATTTGATTTTTAAAGGCAACAACTTAAGAATTTATGATACATTAGATACATTATGAGCTATATTTGTAGTTGGTTGGACTAATTATTAGAGTTATATTTTTATGAAATTATTAAATTCAAAAGGGGAGGATTAAACAGATTCCAAAATAGTTGGTTAAATAAATAATGTCTAATTTTATCAAAGTATTATTTTAATAATATATTTTTCGTACTTAACCCTAAACATAAATTTTTTGAATTTTCTATTACCACTCCATTCATTTTAAATAATCACGAAATTGAATATTTTTAATTTATATAATTGCCTTCGTTAAATTCCTTAATGATTATCTATTTCGATAATAGAATATAGAAGACTTTTGCAATATGTAATAAAGAATTTCGAATTATTTCATAATTACAAAAAATAAAACAATTGCAATTTATCAAATAACACATTATGTTCGAATTTAAATCATTGTTATATATAGTAATAATTAATTTAATGATGATGTTTAAAAAATAGAAGTAAGTTAAGTTGATATTTAGAGAATTTGTCATTTATATTGTTATATTCAAAATAAGGTTAGTTATCCTTTTATAACTAAATAGTTTTCCATTTTATTTGTAATGTTAAAAATCTGTTTATTTATTAGTTATTTTTGTATTGATATGATTATTCATGAATAGGTAACTATATATAGAATTAACTAATTACTCAAAAATGTTACTATTCTTTTAGAAAATGATTCTTTTCAGTTTGAATTTAAGTTTCTATTAGAACCTAAGTGAGTTATCATTATAAAAGTAAAATAATTGGATATCCAAGTTAAATATAGTTTATTATATTTTTAATATATTGATAAATCACTTTGATGATAAGAACAGTGTTGTATCTCAAATTTAAAATTCAGATTTGATTATCTCGAATATAATAAGAAATCCTATTATTTTAACAAAGAAATATATTGAATCTTAGATTAAAATAATCTTTCATGTAAATCAGACATTTAAAATTTTTTTGATGAAATCAATCCAATTTATTTAAAGTATTAATTTAAATTATAATTTAAATAAATCCTAATTTTTTATCAGTTCATAAGATAGTGCATTTGTTGTAAAAGATAAATAAACTCTATACTTTTATTCATATGTTAACACATTCTCCATTCATATTTATCGATATAGATTTTTATTTTATAAATTATTATGGAAATATGTTTAAACAACCTCTTCACTTTATATTACATCTATTGTTTTGGAGAAAGCATAAATATTATTCTTATCTTCAAATTGATATAGATGCGTAGTCTAACCAAGGAAAGTTTAAAATGAAACATCTATTCACTTATAAAACATATTTTTTAACCCCATAAATCTATTTCAATTTTTTAAATGAAAACTCAAGACTTGCAAGGTTATTATTGACTTATTTTTATTATTGGTTCTTCCCAAGTTATAGAAATCAAATAATTTTATAATTCCTTTACAGGTCTGGAATGATCACATAATGATTATAATAGCCTCAGCTAAATCCCTTCTAAAGACCAGATTTTAATGATTTAATCTCCAATTGATATGAATTAATTAAAATTTTTTAATACAACAATCCAAATTACTAATCTGTGAGCTTTTACTAATTTTTGTACTTTCAATTTTTCTATTGAAATTTAAGTATATGTATTAATGCACTAATACCTCCAATCACGATTAGTGAAAATGATTTTTCAATATCCAAGGTATAGCATTTTTCAATTATC